CTCTTAGTCTCATTGATTTGGCTACCTTAGGGCTGCGTTCCCCGCACCCACGCGGTACACAATCATGCTTTTTTTGAGTGTATAGCGAATACGATAACACACACATACACACACACTCACTTACTCTCACATACACACTTGACCACACGCACACAAACACATTCTTTGTTTTTTTTTTCCCAAAAAAAGTTCCGCGTCAGCCCACTAGAGGAGGTGATATGAGCAGAATGCTCCTGTTATTACCAGGGAGCAGCACCTGCTGGAAACCAGGTCCTCACGGCAAGTCAATGGAACCGTGCCCTGCAGGTTGATTAAAGCACTTCCTGGGCCCCGCTTTTCTTTTTTTTGGGGGGGAAAAGATGTGAGATTCCATTATCAATTCGAAAAGGCCCCACTTTTACTGGTTCCCATTGGCAATTAATCCCGTTATGGCCTAAACCAGGGCTGGACCTTCAGCGCTGGTGCCCATGTCTGCTGTCCGGTCAGTTTGCTCACTTGCTCAGGTAGAGAGTGATAGGGCCTTGTTCGACATCACTTGAGGTTGAAGGAAAGGTCTTCGTTCCACCCCTCCCTAATGACACCGCCATAATGTTTTCACTTTCCTGCTCTCAAGCGCGCATCCGTGAAACTCAAGTGCGGCTGGGGCAAAATCGCACTTGAACTCACGGTACCTTCCCGAGGTAAGTGCAAGTGGATACCGCCGCCGAGCACTTCGAGTGGGAGCTTTTTTTGTTTTTCTTTTTTTTCCAGCAGGTGATCCTGGTCCAGGATTAGTCAAGCCGCGGGTTTGGGTTTCAAGTGCAGCTTGTTCAAGGGTTTCCTCAAGTGTACGTGGAACTATAAATCAATAAATCCAGTAAGTGTAAATTAATCACAATTTCTGGTTTACTGCACTGTTGAAACTCAAGTATTTTCAAGTGGAGTGGAACAAGGCCCATCGTCCTCCAGTGAGGTAGGATAGAGGAAGGTGGGGGTGGGCCAGGGAATATGGAGAGGTGGAAGGGAGGGGTCTCCTGAGAGAGTGGTGGGGGTCAGGTTGTTCCCATTCGCTACGTCCGCTGGTTACGTAACGTGAAATATGGTGATTAGTACCAGCGGTTGTGTGACTGAGGGCATAGGGCCTCGCTCCACTAGACAACACTCTAGATGTATGTACATGTATTTGGAGGCTTCTGGGATAGATGCATTCAACATGTTGGATTTGCCCGAATGCAACTGGTCCAGGAAACGTCCAAATGCATGTGCAGTGTTTGTAGTGGAGCCAGGCCCATTAGACTTTTTCCACCTCTCTTTGGACGTAATAGCATATGAAGGAAAGTCCTGTTGTTGTGAGCATCCCCCGAAACAGGGGGGAGGGTTGGAGCTGGTGACTAAGGGCCAGATCCCACTGGCAATGACTATTGGAATAAGCGGCAGAATCTGGACGTGTTCCACTCAGAGATGCAGAAAAGCAGACCAGCCACAATTTTTTGCACATCTCCACAAACAAGTCCAGAGATTCAGGGCATACTCACACGGGGACCAAATGAACCAAAATCCCAAAATTTGAGGCATTTTTGTGGTCACACGGGGTTGGCCCTGTACCCAAATGCCTCAAATCGTGACCAAACGTCAGCGGCCTGCGAGGCGGCGGGGGTACCCTTTTTGAGACCACCTCCAGAGGTGGTCTCAAATGACCAAACACTTTTTTCGTTTCCTTTCCTCAATTTGTAGAAAATCGTAGAAGAATAAGACAACCAGCCGAAGTTGTTTTTCTTTTCTTTTTTCTTTTTTTTCTTTTTCTTTTCTTTGGTGTCCCCTCGTGTGACCACACGACCTTGCCCTGAGTGCAAAGTGTCAGGGTTGCGACTTCGTCCTTTCTGGACGAAGTCCGCACGTGTGACCACACAGGGACCAAATGACCCAAATAACCGTACCCAGATGCCTCAAATTTTTGGTTCTTTCGGTCCCCGTGTGAGTATGCCCTCAGACGCTTACGCTTATTCCCATCCTCTTTCCCAGTGGGATGTGGCCCTAAGGGGCCGGGTAGGCGCAGGGGGGTCGCTGATTCCCGAGGTGAAGTTTTTTTTCTTTTTTCTTTTTTTGTTTTTTTCCGAGGTGAAGTTTTCCTTTTCTTCTTTGTCTTTCGCGTTCGTTTTCCACGATTTTTCCGTTTTCCCCCCCCTCCCTCAACGCAGGTAGCTGCTGCAGCGGGCGCCGAGGCCGCTCAGATGAACGAGAGCCCAACGTGCACCGCTTTGCTGCCAAGGGGTTCGACCCCCTGACGTGGTGGGAGAGAGGCAATTGAGAACATATTGAGAACATAAAAGCATTGGCCAACGGCTTGTATCCCTCCTTGTTTGGGCGAGAAACCTAAAGAGAGCCGTTGCCAGGAAGGAAATCTGGTTGCAGTCAGAAACAGAAAAAGGTGTAAGGTGCATCTGCGAGGTCAGTACGCAGTGTAGCTTTGTAGCTTTGTAGCTTTGTTAGCGTACTTCCACCATGAGGTCATTCCTAGGAAGACGTATTTGACTGGGATTTGAGGGCAGGTGCGGTCGAAAAAAAAAAAAGGTACCGCAGTGCGATCAGCAGAGAGCTTGGCGCCAGATCGAGAGAGAGAGCGGGACGATTCGCGAGGGAGACACCTCACTGCGTGTGGACGCGCGCAGCACTCCTCCGCTGCGCCAACGAATTGTTTTTCGGTCAGCGGCTACAAACTTGTCCTTGCTCGGTTATGCCCTCTGCACTCATTCCACCACCTTGTCGGGCTTTCTCCCTGTCTGCTTGCCTGCTCTCCGCACAGATACAACTATCAATCAATCAAAAAAAAGAGAAAAAGAGGAAAATAGGAACAAATAAAGGAAAAAAAAAAAAGAGAACAAAAAGGGAAAGAAAAAGCAAACCTTCTTGCACTGTTTGTTGTCAGTTCGTAGTTGGAGACCACTGGCTCGAGAGCGGCGTGTACACACACACACACACACACACACACACACACATACGCACACATACATACACACACACACACACACGCGAACGAAATGCAGTTGTGAGTGTATGCCCTTGGGTGTAGATAGAGGAGGGGAGGAGGGGGATATGCATGCCGTTGTGGAATGCAAGGGCTGGTTGTTGTTCGTGTATCTTGCGAGGTCGTAGTCACAGTACGAGGTAGGAGGCAGGAACTACGTACCCAAGAGCGTGCCAATCTTTGTCTGTGGGACTGAAGTATGGAATAGAAGAATAGGGTGCAGCCCTCTGGTAGAGATTGAGAAGGAGAAGGAAGAGCTTGGCGCGCTCTGGCGGGGTGTTGGAGGTGCACTCTGCAGTGCCCAAGGTCGTTCGAAGGCAAGAAAGAAGCTAGGAGGCGGAGGAGGAGGAGGAGGAGGAAGGGAGAGGGAGGTGGAGGGTAGGCGAAGGCGGGTAAGGCGTCTTTCGGATGTTTGTCCTTTCGTCCGCCTGCCGCTGCTTATTCGTATCCGTGTACAGTCAGTCAATCAATTAACCAATCTGGGACCGCATGCGCGCGCGCGCGCACACACGCGCATGCTCCTCCGCGCACACATACCAACACAGACAGAAAAGAGAGGGAAAGAGGGAGGTGGAGTAGGCTCTGTAAATAGAAAACAGCGGCTTGGAGACGTGCACGAGGTGATATGGATGTGTGAACAAGAAGAGGAGGAGCAAAAGCAGCAAAAGCAGGAAGAGCAGGGATAGGAGGAAGAGCAAGAAGAGCAAGAAGAGCAGGAGGAAGAGGAAGAGGAGGAAGAGGAGGAAGAGGAGGAAGAGGGGGAAGAGGAGAGGAGAAGAGCAAGATCAAGCTTCTCGCATTTGTCGCATCTCTCGCTCTCTCTCTCTCGCATTTGTCGCGTCTCTCTCTCTCTCTCTCTCTCTCTCTCTCTCTCTCTCTCTCTCTCTCTCTCTCTCTAGCGCGCGCGCACTCTACCTACCTCATCTGTAAGACGTTCGTCTTGTTTCGTTTGCACCTCCCATTGCCACCAGCCTACTGCAGGACATAAATGATAAAAAGCTGAAGCACTAATTCCTCCTCCTGTGTCTGAGGGGCGGGAATGACCTTCTTCGATTCTCCTACTACATGTCGCGGCTCGAGCGAAGGGCATCCTCCCTCCCGCTCTCCTGGCTCTGTCTCTCCCTCTCTCCTCTACTCAGTATGGCCGTCCCGTCTTTTCCCAAGTGCAGATATGGGAGCAAGATCGAGTGAATAGCGCGACTCGCGCGCGCCTACGGCCTCTGGACCTATTTTGCATGTGTATATCTCCGGCGTTCTTGATATGTGTCCTCGTTAACTCCGCGTGTGTGTTTTGATATCTGTCCTCGTTAACCCCGCGTGTTAACCCCACGTGTTTTGATATGTGTCCTCGTTGCCTCCGCGTGCTAACCGCGGGCGTTTTTTGACATTACTTTGCTTCCAGAGTCCTTGTTACAGTAACTCGACTAGGGAAGCAGGGGGGTGTTTGTTGTGAGGTAAAGACAGAGGGGTGGTGGGTAC